ATCAGCCTGCTGCACCGGTGCATACTGTAACTGAAACCGCTTCCTGTAACTCCATAAATATCGATCCTGGCTCGCAGCACGCGATACGGTTCGAGCAGCGCGCCGCGCCGCGCCGCGCCGGTCCGCCCAATTTTCTACGGTTTTCCGAAATCCGACCACTTTCGGGCGCGAATCTGTTCTTGCGTACAATGAGATCATGTTTGGGGCAGTCGATTCTGTCCGACAGCACACCGCCTTCCACTATCGACAGCGGAGGGGTATACCTTTCACGCTGACATTCGATCCCCTAACGATTTGTTTGCAGGGTGTCGTGTGACTGTCGATGGAAACGGCGCGGCGCGGTGGGCCGAGTGATTCCGCGCGAGGGAAGAAGCCGAAAAACAGAGGGATTTTTGTCGGCGGCACGCGATAATCGATCTCGAATGTTTGCCGGGGCGCGCGCGGTCTTTTGACGGAAGTCGAAACGATCGGCCGCGCGCCGATCAGACGCGGCGCCGTTCTAATCAATAGAAACGCGCGCCGCGCGCTTCGAACTCGATTATCTCCGTACGTGAATCTGCTATGAAAAACCGCGCTCCGCTGTGTTTTATCGCCAAGTATTTTATGCAGCTTTTACGGCCCCTATAATCTGGATATCGACGAGATAATCGATCGGCCACGGTCCGCCGGATTTATATTTGTTTGCCGCGCTAAACGAAGGATCGCGAGCTCGCGCGACGCGGCGCGGCCGGGGAAACCCGGTCGTAACTTCGTTATCGGCCGATATTTTTCGAGTGAAACGAAATTACGAGGTGATCGACGAAACAAGCTGTTTTCGAAAGATTTTTCCCGCGCGAGAGATCTTCGTCGGATCGCGAGAAACAAATTCAGAGGTAATTACATATTTTTTGCTATTCGTAGCATTCGACGATGTTTCGAAGGGCAATCGTGGTCACCGTGGGGCAATCTTTTTTTACGAGATTCTATTACGTTTTGAGGTAACCGATGCCACCGATTTTCACTTTAATCCTCTGCTGTCACACCGGGTCGAAGCGTCTCGCATTTTTATTCCGGAGACGCGACATTCTCGCGAGCACTTCGAACGAAATTAGCAATTCATTCGATATACGTGCTTGGAAGTGGGCTATCGAGTTCTAATAAAAGAAACGACGTTCTACGATGTTCGAATTGCATCCTCAAATTTTTCGGTCGCAATAGCACCGCTGGTTTTTCAGAGATAATCGTGCGAGCGATGCGATACACGACACCACTTTTTCCGCGTTGAAAGCGCGTCAGCGAAGGGCGCACCGAAAAAGTGTTCAGACCTTTTACCAAGCACGCATAAACGACCCTTGCGAACGTGATTCTCTTTTCTTCGTAAACAGAATCCCTAATGGAAGATAAAGAGCGCGAGTTACGCTAAAAACAACTTCTTGATTCCAGCGGATCTCCAGTGCAAGGCGATATCGGTTTCAGTTAGTGGGTCAGTGAAGTCCCGCTAATTATTCTTAACGACAATTTCTCCGGCGGCAATGGACGTCGTAATCGGACGCCGTTAACAAGCCATTGACAGGAGGGACCCGTTAATTGTTCGGCCCCGTTGCGAGGTTTATTTAAAACCGCGTTCGGAGGCGCGCGCGCGATGGAGAGAGCCAGCGAACCAACAATCGTCGTCGCGCGAAGAATGGGCCGGGGCGCGACCAATTTCGTGGTTCGATTCTGCTGCAAAATTATTCGCGGAATAATGGACGACGGGGCTGCAACAATCGCATGTTCGCGGCATGGCGCAAGCACCGTCGACGCGCCGTCGTTTCCAATTCCCGCTGCGTAGCCGGCGATTGTTGACCGCGGCCGCGATTCGCCTCGTTGTTGCGAGCTCGCCCGTCGGAATTCAACCTACCGTCGACGGGATCGTCGGGACGGACTCGTTAAGAAATTCGAGCCAAACCGCCACTAGAAACTGATCTTCGTGATGCGCGCGCGCTGGCTTCTGGGCATCGGATACTGTTATCGCACACCGGGCACGGAAGTAGACCGCAGCGAATTTCGATCGTAGATCGCGGTCGATGGCAAGGATCGCTTGCAAAATGGTTTGTGATGTAGTTCCCTCGAAATTAGGGCGAGTTTAAGTCATGGCTTCGGTGATTTTAGGTTCTCTTTTGAAGCAGAGATGATTGAAACAGTGATAAATTTGGGGTGGAATAATTTTTCTTTTCTGCAATATAGCGAGTGTGAGATCGATCATATCTCGTGATCGATGCCATGGATCTTTATGAAAATCGAGCATGAAGTAGTCCACGAGAAATTAGGGGGTGTTTAAGTCACCATCTCGCTATATAATGTATAAGTAAACAAGAAAATGAATAAGAAAATATACGAATACATAAATTTCGAATTAATTAATTAATCACGTTCTGCTATGATGCACACTTAGGATCTCGACGAAACTCGACTATATCATAATACACGTACAATTAGGGGTAGTTTAAGTGATCGTTTCGCGAGCGTTAAGTCCGTTCACGATCTGCAACCCTTCGAACTTGAGAATCGTTGCCGATCCTCGGGAAACTAGCTGACGCCCGGTCGTTTCCTGCAAGCGCCACGTAGAAAATAGAGTCGTTCGACGGAGAAGGGGTCGGTGGCGACCCAGCGTATCGTTCCTGCGTCAGTCAGCAGGGCTAAAATTTCTTCGGCAAACGGTTCGGAAGAGCCCTTGACACTTTCCACGACGGAACCTCGGCGTGACTACACTCGATCGTTATTTCGAGAGGATATTAGGGAGGGAAAAAGCGTCGAGCCCTTAATGGCGTTCGCGTCGTTGAGCGGTCGATCGCGCATCCGGGAAGATCGGGTCCTCGAGGCACGCGGAACGATGCACCCCTTGTCCCCTTTTCTTCCCGGCCCCCGTAATCACTCGCGATAGATTCGACGCGATCCCGCGGAGTCTGTCTTTTCACGAGGAATAACAAATGGCGGACGAGTATCGACAGCGAGCTCTTCCTCTGCGGAACGGGGCGGGGGCGTAAAAGGTGAGCGCCGTGGGCAAGGTGGCTCGAGTTTCAGCGACTCCTTTTGCATATTTATCGCTATCTGAGAAATATCATCGTTCGACGTCGCGAGGCGACGCGAGAAGAAGAGAGGCGACACGAGAAAAGGCGAGGCGAGGCCTGACGACGAGACGCAAGACGACTCGACGCGATTCGACTCGACGCGGTTCGACTCGACGCGGTTCGACTCGACGCGGTTCGACTCGACGCGACTCGATTCGGCACGACCCGACTCGACGCGACTCGACGCGGTTCGACTCGACGCGACTCGATTCAGCACGACTCGACTCGACGCGACTCGACTCGACGCGACTCGACTCAACGCGATTCGACTCGACTCGACCCGGCGCGACTCGACTCAACTCGGCGCGACTCGACTCGACTCGACTCAACTCGACTTGACGCGACTCAACGCGACGCGACTACCAGCGCGGAAAGATACCTCGAAACCCATTCGTCAAAACTACCGAAACGATCGCCATCGCGACGACGTTGCTTCCACCCTCTTGCACCACCTTCCGCCTCCCTTCTCATCCCTTTCTCTCTCTTTCTCCGGCGTCGTTTTTTCCCGGTCTACCGTCCCACGTTTGTCTCCGGCGCTCGCTCCATCGTTCGCTCGTTCCTTTCTCGCGAAAACATTCCTATCGATCGTCCCGGGGCTCTTTCGACAAGTCTCGGGATCCGGTGGAAGGCGATTTGCAACTAGAATTCTTGATAACACCGAGACTACCTTCGAGTGCCCCGCAGAAATAACAGAATCTTGTCGCCGATACTCTCCCGCGATTTTTACGCTACGCGAACCGGGAAACCGGCTCGGTAATTTTTTTTACAAAGAATCTGCTCGGTTTCGATCAATCTGGTATCGAAATTTAGCGAGGAATCGTTTGCACGGCTGCGAACGATTGGTGTAATTGTTTTGTCTTTCCGTGTAGGAAAATTCTGGACGCTTCTCGTTTCGAGGAAAGCGATAAAAGTGTGGAACCAGTTTTCTTTTCTTTAACATAGTGTAAAATCGATCATACCTCGCGATCGAGGCCATAGATCTTTGCGAACAACAAGTAATGGTACAGTTCGCGTGAAATTAGATTATAATCTATTGTAATCTATTATAATCTATTACAATCTATTACAATCTATTATAATCTATAATATATTATAATCGACATAATATATAGATACATCGTAAATATACGTCAGCAGCAGTGAAAAGATTTTAACCAGATAGCTGTGTCCGACGAGTATACTCGCCATGGAGAAGTGTCATTATTTTGCCTCACGACGACTATACTCGTCGCGCGTAAAAAGTACTGACCATTGACTATTTAAATTGTACTAAAAAATTTAATTGTATGTAGCTAGCTCGGAAATAGATAACCTTATTGCAATAATATGTAACAATTTCTTAGAGTACGCTATCTGTAACTTAAACACCGTATACGGTTTCTTCTCACAATAATTATTTATATTTTATTGCTTGATCGTTTTATTTCATTATTACGACACCGACAAATCAATTTAAAAATCGTCAAAAATCATTTAAAGAAAAACGTCTTAATACAAAAATTGCCCATTCTCGTAGATTTACTAAATCTACAAGATCTCAGAGACTGTCCAAAGAGGGACCGGCAATCATCGATCAACAATCGGGTGCTAAAACGTGCTCCAATGTAAACGATCGTATCAGAATTTCCAGATGGTGGATCGTTTCTCGAAACAAGTACGACGACCGCGAAGTAGATCGTTCGTCGAGGGACAGGCGACGAAGATGGTCAATTACCGTTAATGCACCTGTATCTAGGTGCGGGTGGGATTACACAATGGATCCCCGACAGCAGATTGGGACCGTCTAAAGGGCGCCCTCCCCCCCCTTTAAGCACGCCGAACGGGAAATCGTAATTTTCGGGGTCGGCTTCCGCGGCCGATGCTTAATCCCGTCACGCGTTTTCCACGCGGAAACGCGGCGGGCAAACTCACCTCGCTCGGGAAACTACTGCCTCGTTTCTCCTCGCTCCGTCCGCGGCCTCGTCCTGCAACAAAGTAGCGACGACCCAATTAGCGCGTCGTTGACATTATAGGGTGGGTGTCCCAGTTTCTGTGCCTGTCCCAATTTCCGTGCCCCCGGATTAAAAACGTATGGAAAAAGAAAAATTGCAGAAATCGATGATCTATTTGTCTTTTATTGTTATGTTTCGCTGTCAGCGTGTACGATTTGGGGCACACAAATATGGGGCACGGGAATACGGGGCACGGAAATACGGGGCACGGAAATACGGGGCATAGAAATATGGAGGCACGGAAATACGGGGCACAGAAATATGGAGGCACAGATATACCTGTCTCTTATACACATCTAGATGTGTATAAGAGACAGCTCCATGACGAGTATACTCGTCATGGAGCTGTCTCTTATACACATCTAGATGTGTATAAGAGACAGCTCCATGACGAGTATACTCGTCATGGAGCTGTCTCTTATACACATCTAGATGTGTATAAGAGACAGCTCCATGACGAGTATACTCGTCATGGAGCTGTCTCTTATACACATCTAGATGTGTATAAGAGACAGCTCCATGACGAGTATACTCGTCATGGAGCTGTCTCTTATACACATCTAGATGTGTATAAGAGACAGGCATAGAAATATGGAGGCACAGAAATACGGGGCATAGAAATACGGGGCACAGAAATATGGGGCCCAGAAATATGGAGCACAGAAATACGGGGCACGGAAATATGGAGACATAGAAATAAGGAGCATTGAAATACGGGGCAAGGAAATACGGGGCACAGAAATATGGAGGCACAGAAATACGGGGCACAGAAATATGGAGGCACGGAAATACGGGGCACAGAAATACGGGGCATAGAAATATGGAGGCACATATATACGGGGCACAGAAATACGGGGCACAGAAATATGGAGGCACGGAAATACGGGGCACAGAAATACGGGGCATAGAAATATGGAGGCACATATATACGGGGCACAGAAATACGGGGCACAGAAATATGGAGGCACAGAAATACGGGGCACGGAAATATGGAGGCACAGAAACACGGGGCACAGTTATACGGGGCACAGTTACATGGGGCACAGAAACATGGGACACAATTACATGGGGCACAGTTACACGGGGCTCAGAAACACGGGGCACAGTTATACGAGACAAAGAAACACGGGGCACAGAATCATCGCAGGATCATGGTAGCCGCGGTCGAATCGCGAAAACAGCTCAGATCTTTCGCGACGAAGGGAATCATCGATCCATGAGAAAGGCCGATCGCGTGTCAGCGATCGACCTTGGCTCCCGAGACGACAATCCGTCGCCGCGTTCTTAGGACGCGATCGATAAACGTCGACGGGCGGAGACGCAGGGGGTGGTTAGGGTCGCAGGAGCGAAGGAAGGGCCGAAATCACTGCCTACGGTTACCGGTCGACCTTTCCGTTGATCTTCGGGATTCGAGTCCGGTAATTGCTGCGGCAATTACCGCGAATTACGGCGATAATTACCGTCATTATGCGGTGCAGTAATTTCGGTAATTACTGCAGTAAATCGTAAGCTCCGATTGCAAGCTCTCCCGGAACCGAGGGTGCATAACTTTTAAGACGCGTGACTAACAGGCTGACATCGGATTCCCGTCGCTCGGAGTCCTGATACCCGCCACCCTCTCCCTTCGCGCCTTACTTCGCCCCCATGAAATCCCACTCGGCACGGATTCCCACTGATTTCGAGCCCAGTCGGTGATCCCGAATTAGATCCAAACATTTTCTTCGCTCGTATTTTCGGACGCGTGTACCAGCCAAAACGAGCACAGACATTTTTTAACGCGTTAAAAGCTGGGCGATGCTCGCGATATTTTTCTGGAAGAAACTGCCGGACGGATCTTCTCGCAATTTGTTTGGAGATTCTGTCCAACATTTTCGTTGAAAAGCGTGCAGTGGAAATTGATCTACAGGGTGATCCGTAGAAGCTAACATTTTTTTTCAGATTCAGCCGGCAACGTTGTTCGGCACTGAAAATCGACGGTTGAAGATCGACGATCTCGAATTATTATAAACTACGATAAATTACGATGAATGCCGAAATCGATTATAAATTCGTGAACGAATGTTTCACAGAAACATTTCAACGACAGAAAAAAGTTAAGAAATCAAGCCATTTCGATCATTTCGATTGTCGCGACGGTTTTAAAGCGTTAGGACTTCGGTTATTTCGATGGGAACGAGCCGCGGCGTGAATCACGACCGACTTTCGGCCGCAACGGGCGACAGATAACGACGAAACGAACGAGGACAACAGGATACCGAACGGAATTAAAGTGTAACGCAGAAATCGCGAGGCTGGGTGGCCTCGTTCGTCGAGAAACAACGAGCCGGAAATGAAAAGCAAGCGGACGCGCCGAAGAGCCGCGGCGGAGAGCAAAGTCGCGGCCCTGTATCGATGATTCCGTGCGACGACGATCGATCGATCGAGGAAATGACAGTTTTGCGTCGCGCCGGGCATGCACGCACTGATTGCGCACGGTGCGACTCGCGTCCATCAAGCTGACAAACGTCACGGTCGATGGAAATGGCCGGGGCCATGCGCCCGCTCTGATGCTCGCGTGCCTGCGTTTGGCGGCACGGCTAAACCCGCCTAATTCACGCCTAAACTCGGCCGTTTTTTAGCCGAGTCCGCTGCTATACGCGCGCCTCTGACGGATGCTTTGACACCAACTGCCGAACGAACCCGTCGCGTAAAAATATCTCGCGGGATCCAAACACAATCAAAATTGAAACTTCCCGGAAACGTGATCGAATCGAATGTTCGAGAATTTTTCCTGGATTTCGCATGAAAGCTGCAGGGATGATTTTTACGTAGAGTGATTCTTTGGATTGTTGTCGATACAATGGCATGTTTTTTGATGATATCCTGATTGTTCAGGCGCGTTTAGATTATTTTTGAAGAGCGCGAGACGTCTGCGATGTTCTAATCTTTTTGGACGATTTTATGTTTCAGTGCAGAATTATAATTTTTGGGAATTGATCGACTCTAAATTTCGACGTGTCAGTGAAAATGACTAGTTTCAAGTTTTGCTATAATAGGATAATAGGATATAATTTTTCTGTGCGAGATAAAATGTGAATACAATAGTTGCAAGAAATAAAAACTAAATGATGAGTTAATTCTTTTTTTGATCACTTTGATGGATTAA